CCCAACCCTTGAACACAGACATATTCAACTTGAGTATAACAAGTTTGGTTATTGTCCATTAATCCTGACTTTAGTAAGTAGCTACTTTGTGACACAAATGTCAAACATACAACTGTGGTTTGTATATTAAGGTCAGGCTATATCCTGTCATGCTCTTTCTCATGTGACTGTTTCAACACCATACAACCTCAGTGGTAAGTCCTTTTGTTCCAGTTATATTACCACTGTATTCTTGTATTTAAGATGTCTTTGTCTGCAGCAGATGACTTGTCTGCTCCTGACATGAACAACTAACTGATTACTGCTGCTTGACCAATGATGGAGATTTTGTTGTAGCCAAGTGTACTAAAGTACTATTGGAATAGAAATAGATTCACTTTGGTCTATTATTCAAAGCAATACCATTTTGTTTATCCTATTATTGAAATAACTGATTATTATTAAGTTAGTTCTCCCTGTGGTTTGAAAAGGATAGACAGCAACTAGGGGAAGAGGACAATTTACAGGAGACAAAATAAGGTCAAATTTAGAGCCTAAAGGAATGATACTGATACATTGTTTTGGAAATATTTCCTGAACTTTTAAAGAGGCAAGATTATATTTCCGCAATGAGTGATCTTTGTAAGATTAATGATGGATATTCTATTGGAGAAATATTGTTGAATAAAAATAAAACAAAACCTTGTTTCGGTTCATGTAACATGAACAATTCATATGAACGTCACATGCTTCGTGGAAAACGGACCATGGCATTCATTGCACATGCTGCAACTGGATTCTGCACTTAATCATGTTGATGCTTTGAAGTAGTCAGTGTAGGCTTTTCGTTCGATGGAGCAAGACACACTTACTTTCTGTTGTCGTTGACTAATATAGATGTCAAGATAAGAGAATCATGTTTGGTTCTATATATATATATATGTCATAAGAGAATCATGTTTAGTTCTCCATATATGTCATGATAAGAGAATCATGTTTAGTTCTCAATATATGTCATGATAAGAGAATCATGTTTAGTTCTCCATATATGTCATGATAAGAGAATCATGTTTAGTTCTCCATAGATGTTATGGTAAGGGTTCATGTGTAGTTCTATATTGATGTCAAGATAGGAGAATCATGTTTGGTTCTATATATATATATATATGTCATAAGAGAATCATGTTAAGTTCTCCATAGATGTGCGATAAGAGAATCCTGTTTAGTTCTCCATAGATGTCATGATAAGAGAATCCCATTTAGTTCTCCATAGATGTCATGGTAAGAGAATCCTGTTTAGTTCTCCATAGATGTCATGATAAGAGAATCCCATTTAGTTCTCCATAGATGTCATGGTAAGGGTTCATGTATAGTTCTCCATTGATGTCAAGATAAGAGAATCCCATTTAGTTCTCCATAGATGTCATGATAAGAGAATCATGTTTAGTTCTCCATAGATGTCAAGATAAGAGAATCATGTTTAGTTCTCCATAAATGTCATGATAAGAGAATCATGTTTAGTTCTCCATAGATGTCAAGATAAGAGAATCATGTTTAGTTCTCCATAGATGTTGTGATAAGAGAATCATGTTTAGGTCTCCATAGATGTCGTGATAAGAGAATCATGTTTAGTTCTCCATAGATGTCAAGATAAGAGAATCATGTTTGGTTCTTTATGTATGTCATAAGAGAATCATGTTTAGTTCTCCATTGATGTCAAGATAAGAGAATCATGTTTGGTTCTTTATGCATGTCATAAGAGAATCATGTTTAGTTCTCCATAGATGTCGTGTTAAGGAGAATCATGTTTAGTTTTCCATTGATGTCAAGATAAGAGAACCATGTTTGGTTCTTTATGTATGTCATAAGAGAATCACGTTTAGTTCTCCATAGATGTCATGGTAAGAGAATCATGTTTAGTTCTCCATAGATGTCATGATAAGAGAATCATGTTTAGTTCTCCATAGATGTCATGATAAGAGAATCATGTTTAGTTCTCCATAGATGTCATGGTAAGAGAATCATGTTTAGTTCTCCATAGATGTCATGGTAAGAGAATCATGTTTAGTTCTCCATAGATGTCATGGTAAGAGAATCATGTTTAGTTCTCCATAGATGTCATGGTAAGAGAATCATGTTTAGTTCTCCATATATGTCATGATAAGAGAATCACGTTTAGTTCTCCATAGATGTCATGGTAAGAGAATCATGTTTAGTTCTCCATAGATGTCATGATAAGAGAATCCCATTTAGTTCTCCATATATGTCATGATAAGAGAATCATGTTTAGTTCTCCATAGATGTTATGGTAAGGGTTCATGTGTAGTTCTATATTGATGTCAAGATAGGAGAATCATGTTTGGTTCTATATATATATATATATGTCATAAGAGAATCATGTTAAGTTCTCCATAGATGTCATGATAAGAGAATCCCATTTAGTTCTCCATAGATGTGCGATAAGAGAATCATGTTTAGTTCTCCATAGATGTCATGATAAGAGAATCCCATTTAGTTCTCCATAGATGTCATGGTAAGGGTTCATGTATAGTTCTCCATTGATGTCAAGATCGGAGAATCATGTTTGGTTCTATATATATATATATATGTCATAAGAGAATCATGTTTAGTTCTCCATATATGTCATGATAAGAGAATCCCATTTAGTTCTCCATAGATGTCATGATAAGAGAATCATGTTTAGTTCTCCATAGATGTCAAGATAAGAGAATCATGTTTAGTTCTCCATAAATGTCGTGATAAGAGAATCATGTTTAGTTCTCCATAGATGTCGTGATAAGAGAATCATGTTTAGTTCTCCATTGATGTCAAGATAAGAGAATCATGTTTGGTTCTTTATGTATGTCATAAGAGAATCATGTTTAGTTCTCCATTGATGTCAAGATAAGAGAATCATGTTTGGTTCTTTATGTATGTCATAAGAGAATCATGTTTAGTTCTCCATTGATGTCAAGATAAGAGAATCGTGTTTGGTTCTTTATGCATGTCATAAGAGAATCATGTTTAGTTCTCCATAGATGTCGTGATAAGAGAATCATGTTTAGTTTTCCATTGATGTCAAGATAAGAGAACCATGTTTGGTTCTTTATGTATGTCATAAGAGAATCACGTTTAGTTCTCCATAGATGTCATGGTAAGAGAATCATGTTTAGTTCTCCATAGATGTCATGATAAGAGAATCATGTTTAGTTCTCCATAGATGTCATGATAAGAGAATCATGTTTAGTTCTCCATAGATGTCATGGTAAGAGAATCATGTTTAGTTCTCCATAGATGTCATGGTAAGAGAATCATGTTTAGTTCTCCATAGATGTCTTGGTAAGAGAATCATGTTTAGTTCTCCATATATGTCATGATAAGAGAATCACGTTTAGTTCTCCATAGATGTCATGGTAAGAGAATCCCATTTAGTTCTCCATAGATGTCATGATAAGAGAATCCCATTTAGTTCTCCATATATGTCATGATAAGAGAATCATGTTTAGTTCTCCATAGATGTTATGGTAAGGGTTCATGTGTAGTTCTATATTGATGTCAAGATAGGAGAATCATGTTTGGTTCTATATATATATATATATATGTCATAAGAGAATCATGTTAAGTTCTCCATAGATGTGCGATAAGAGAATCCTGTTTAGTTCTCCATAGATGTCATGATAAGAGAATCCCATTTAGTTCTCCATAGATGTGCGATAAGAGAATCATGTTTAGTTCTCCATAGATGTCATGATAAGAGAATCCCATTTAGTTCTCCATAGATGTCATGGTAAGGGTTCATGTATAGTTCTCCATTGATGTCAAGATCGGAGAATCATGTTTGGTTCTATATATATATATATGTCATAAGAGAATCATGTTTAGTTCTCCATATATGTCATGATAAGAGAATCCCATTTAGTTCTCCATAGATGTCATGATAAGAGAATCATGTTTAGTTCTCCATAGATGTCAAGATAAGAGAATCATGTTTAGTTCTCCATAGATGTCGTGATAAGAGAATCATGTTTAGTTCTCCATAGATGTCGTGATAAGAGAATCATGTTTAGTTCTCCATTGATGTCAAGATAAGAGAATCACGTTTGGTTCTTTATGTATGTCATAAGAGAATCATGTTTAGTTCTCCATTGATGTCAAGATAAGAGAATCATGTTTGGTTCTTTATGTATGTCATAAGAGAATCATGTTTAGTTCTCCATAGATGTCGTGATAAGAGAATCATTTTTAGTTCTCCATTGATGTCAAGATAAGAGAACCATGTTTGGTTCTTTATGTATGTCATAAGAGAATCATGTTTAGTTCTCCATAGATGTCATGATAAGAGAATCATGTTTAGTTCTCCATAGATGTCATGGTAAGAGAATCATGTTTAGTTCTCCATAGATGTCATGGTAAGAGAATCATGTTTAGTTCTCCATAGATGTCATGGTAAGAGAATCATGTTTAGTTCTACCACTTCGCCTACCACTGCATAACAGTCATTCATATACACACAGAATAGTTTCTATACGACAAGCATAGTCACCTTTTACGGCAAGCATCGGTTGCTGAGAACCTATTCTACCCCGGATCTTCACGGGTCCACATTCCTCATGATAATCATCATGTCCCTGTTAATATAACAAACATTACCAGTGATAATCGTCATGTCCCTTTAATAATACAGACATTACCAATGATAATCGTCATGTCCCTTTAAATATTCAGACATTCCTCATGATAATCGTCATGTCCCATTAATAATACAGCCATTCCTCATGATAATCGTCATGTCCCTTTAATGATACAGACATTCCTCATGATAATCGTCATGTCCCTTTAATAATACAGACATTCCTCATGATACTTGTCATGTCCCTTCAATAATACACACATTCCTCATGATAATTGTCATGTCCCTTTAATAATACAGACATTCCTCATGATAATCGTCATGTCCCTGTTAATATTACAAACATTCCCAATGATAATTGTCGTGTCTAAAATATTATTACAGACATTCCTAATGATAATCGTCAGCAGAGCTTATTGAGTAAAGACATCCAGGGGCGCCTACTAATGAGGTATAATACATTGTTTTTGTTGTTTTTTAACCTTCATGTTGATCGCCTCCAAGTCCATTTGTACATGTATTTGAAACCACCAAGCCTATGAAGGTGAGGTGCAGTGTATATAATAATATATCATTAATGGCATCTCTGAAAAATGCTCACAAAATTCCAATTTAGTTTATTCTAAATGCTGTAGAGTGTAATCTAAACCCACCATTCAAGCAGTTGTTACTGTACCAGTATCAGTACGTAAATTTACACACAGTAAGTTAGTCTTGGGGTTTTTTTTCTTTACTTTTCACCTTTCTTGTTTTAAATAATTTATGACACTGATTTGTTTTACTCGTCCAAACTAAATATTCAAGTGAGCTTATCTCTCTGTCCGTTGTTTGCCTGTCTGTCCATATATTGGAACATTTTACATTTTAGATATCTCCTTTATCAAAACCTGTCTTGAGCTTTCATCCCCGATTCCTCCTGTGTCCTCTCTGTGATGTGTTCACTGAGGTCTGATTTGATTTTAAACATGGAAACTTATGCAATCAACTATGAATTTCAAATTTGCCCTCAGCCATTTCGGCATGTATAAGTATGAAATTTTATTTTTTGTAAATGACTTAATTTGTCGTATGCAGAAACATGGATTTCACTTTTTGCCATATTTTGATATTTAGCTCACCTTATTCAGGGATGTGAAATCTCTGCGGAAACGCAGAAAATCATGATTTTTTAAACGGTAGTCCTCCGAAAAAATCATCTCCGCGTAAAAATATAATCAAAGATTAAAAGAAAACATTCCGAAAAATATTATCGAAAACCAGACAACCGTCGCGTATTGTCCTGTTTTCGGTCAGAGCTTTCAGCATCCTAGGTTTTCGGACATAAAACGTTTTCTATCACGAATACTTGCACTATGTGGTGTGTGGCATCACACAGAAATTGTAAATACTAAGATGATGGCTTGTTTTTTAAGATAAAGGTGTATTTTATCCTAATAAGTGAATGAGATGTTTTACAGTTGTTCATGTGATTAGCGAGAAAACTATGAATGTTTCTTCAGCGTCCAAAAACCAATAACATGGGGATATATGTTCTATTAATGTCTTATGTTTGCAATTGAGTATTGTTTGTTTTTTCAACAAAAGGTAAATAAGTACAAGGTAAGTTTTTTTCAATATGCTTCCACATGGGGAAAGGATCAGACATTGCACACTTGTGACAGTTGTCCTTGTATCTGTGGGATGGGGGGTGAAGTTTATGGCACTATTGCTCCCTGACCTGGCGGGTAGCCAGGTGCGCAGAAGCTATGCCGATTTTTTTAAAGTAGTGATTTAACTTCGAAATTTTTCTGCATCTGCGATCTTTGTTTATTTGACTTATTGACTTTGCCCATTGACTTATTACATTTCTTGGTGTGAATGCTGTCCAAACTGCACGAAATTGCTTAAAACTTTTCCTCTTTTTTTCGGGAAAACCTGATCACATCCCTGCTTATTCAAAGTCAAAATGTCTTTAGCTATTTGTAAGTTGCCTAATCTCCTTCTACGAAACTAATAGACCAATGAAGTTAAAACTTACATACTTGTGCAAATCAAAGATATATTTCCAACAGCTTTGAAACTGATTTTCAACATGGCCCCTGATACTGCAAATCTTTTTTTCTTGTTAAGAAAAATGTCTGTGCACCTTAAAAAATCACATTAAAATAAAATTGCCATTGACTTTTCAGAATCATGCATGATAATCACATGTGCAAACACTTTGCCATGATTACCCATGATGAAGCTGAAGTTGCATGAGCATCCTGGTCTCTTGTTGAAGTGTTTTTGCTGTGAAAAGCAACTTTGTTGATGGCCCATCCTCATAAATGAGAGGTTGCATGCAATTGGAATTCTTGAAACTGGAATTGCACAAAATGTTGCCCGGTGTATTGGTGTTCTTCGTAACACCTCACATTCTCACTGGGGTCGGTATCAACAGACTGGCAACACCAGGGACAGACTGTTCTTGACGTCCAGTAACGTCATGTCAGCATGATAATCATACCCACCTGCTGGTATGTTAAGCTGACACGTATGTTGTTCAACGTTCTGCATTCAGTGTTGGGAGAGTGATTAGGTGAGAAGGCATTACTGCACATCACAGGACCCGTTTAGTGGTCATCAATGGCTATTTGACTGGTGTGCAGGTTATCCATCCTCCCTTTCCTTCAGACATTTGGACGTCACATCACATTACAACCGGACAATGCATGCCCTCACATTGCACATGTGGTCACAGACTTCATTGGACAAAAGAACAACCCCCACTCCCTTTGACCTGCTGTTTTGCCAGGTCTGTCATCCATCGAACGTGAGGGATGAATGAAACATTGTTTACGCGACTCCTCAACCAACCATTAACGTTGGTCCAGGTCCGGAATGACATCCCACAAGCCTTCCTCAACAGTCTCTTGATGTCAGTGAACAGTTGTTGTCAAGCTTTTGTCACTGCTAATAGTGGTCTTACCCAACACTGACATGTGAACTGACAGTTGACCCCACACCACTTTCAGCCTGAGAGGACATATGTACATGCTGTCATGATGAATTCATGTTCCATGGACATTGATATGTTGCTCTGTTGCAAAATCAGTCTTTCTTTGTGGTTATATATTTATTATTTACTATGGTAGTCAGTGATGCACAGGAACTTTTTTCTGCTAGTGTATTATGAAATTTGGCAGTTAGTGTAGTTAGTATTGTGGCATGTTCTGTTTTCAGGGTATTATGTTTTTCACCTCACTTGACATTTGCATTATTTTCATCACAAAATTACATTTCCTTATATTGTTAGCAGACAATACTGGAGCCATGAAGCTGAAAATTCACATGCATTTTCCTAGCAATGATAGCAATATATTCTAGGGGTTCAGTCCAATAAACATCCATTTTGAGAAAGCTATAATTCCTTCAAAAATCCTACCTCTACTACATCATAACAAATATTCTTGAAATTTGGTTAACATCACTCTAAAAATCACTATCCCCCATCCTAATCAGTTGTTAGGAATAACCTCATATTGTGCAAAATGTGCATGCGGGATATGCTTCACTTCTTTCTTTTGTGTGCTCACTTGAATTTTTTCAGGTATTTGAGCACACATATTTGTGTTAAAATTCTGTACTTAAGTATCTTAGTCTACCAACTGAAGACAACTATATACATTGTTCTTTAACAGTGTATAATTCTTATGAAACTTCTACCTCTATTTCATCTCTGCCATAAATCCCATATTTTAGCTTCAGTCACACTAACTAAACTTTTCAGATTTTCAACAGACGTCCGCTTCACTGTCAATTACACACACAACTAGTTGTTGCCAAGTAGCATCATAACCACCCAAGCCATGACGGAAACAATGGCAGCAACCTCACTTTTTTCCTGCGTGTGCTGAGTCAAAACCTATTGTGATAATAGTAACGATCTAGCACTTGGTAGTAAGTCACATTAATCTAAGATTATTCTAATAGTTTTCAAAATAATAACAGACAATAAGTACATATTAATAGCTGCTGGAGTGACGATCGTACGCACGTAAGTACAGCTGGTCCTTGGTGTTTGTGAGCTCAGAATGGAGTCTCCATCTACTCCCAGGTGCAAGAAGTGTGGTCATTTCATGATCACGAGAGATCCTCATGATAACTGCACTAAGTGCAGAGGCACTTCCTGCAATGAAGACAAGAGCTAGAGAAGTGCGCCAACACATCTAAAAAGACCTTCACTAAGATAGCCAAGGCATTGACCAAGGCTAAGAGGCGCGAGGCCGCCAAGAAAAAGGTGGAAAACATCACAGTCAAGAAATCGGCTTCCACCCCAGCTTTTTCCACTCCAGTTGATCAACCATCTCCTGCACTCTCTATGAATGGTCTCCTGGTGTTGTAAAATTGGAATAGCGAGGAACATGTACCACACAAAAGAGTTTTGTGCACAACACTGACAAAACTACAAGGTCTCTATACTTCCAGAACAGTTCTTAGGAAACTAAGGTATCAAACAATCATATCACAATGCCTTTTGTTAAATAAATATGGTTTTGAGTGAGCATAATACCAGCTAGTATTCAAACAGGGCTAAATACTAGTGAAGACAAGTACATCCTGATTAAGAACCTAATGACCCCTGCGGGTTGACAGTAAAGAACACAAATTATTTCGGAAGCCAGCATAAATTGGTGAAAGACATTGGGCTGACTTTAGAATTAGATTTAGGTAATATGGTAATAAAACATAATCATGGAATTAAGATAAACTGGCATTTAGTCAAATATTTTGTTAAATAAAAGTTATGTGCATATTTTCCTCCCATTATTTCCATGATTGTACTGAAGAAATAATTAAGATCCTGAATGGTTTTTCATATATTGAGCAATGGTAAATGGACCCCACAAAGGTATCTATGATATCGATACAGACTGTGTTAAATATGCAGTTTGCAATTTCCTTCCTTCAGTCTGTGATATCTTTAATAGATATACAGATAATAAATCAGAATACCGAAAAAGTACCAGGTGTTTTGACTTGTTTGCTCGCCAGTCAATACCGCGTGTGCTTCCAACTCAGGAATTCTTTCAGCCTCACAACAGCCATGGACCTCCATTCAGAACAGGCCATTGGATACTTTGGACAAGACACTGATCAAATTTCACATCTGGTTTGCAGCATTACCTGCTCTGTCAACAGGTCATGGATGGTGTCAGGAAGTCAGCTACAACAACTTTGTCGGCTGTCTCCTGTGCACCTGTTTTCTGTCTGTGCCTGGATATCACCCATGTCTTCTTTGATAGGAATAATGCAGACAAAGTACACCTGGGTAAACTGGTTTTCTTTTCATTGTCAAAACCAAAATCCTGTTTGAAGGTCAAAGGTTATAATTTCTTTTATCTTTGGACACAAGGATGAATAAGAACTGTCCCTATGCTCTATCAGGACATAAAAGGAATACCTGAAGATGACATATCCTTTCTTTTGAAGGGAGTGCAAAGACTTTACCAGCAAGACGAAGATTTCCAAAACACCCTATCCTTCTGTCTGAGGATAATGGAAGCTGATCAGCATGTGACATTGGAGCCTCCATGAGAGAACAATCCATATGAGATCAGGGCACTGGCAGCTTCACTGGAGTTGCACACCGACAGCTCTATCAAGGGCTGTGTTTCCACTTTCGCCAACTATTGCTTCCAAGATGTGTTGGTAGAAGATATTGATGATCTTTATCAACTGTGTCCTATTCATCAACCCCAGAAAATGTCAATAACATCTCCTCAAGCCACAATAATTTACTTGTAATCTACAGAGACACCACAGGATATGACTTTTATCTGAGAGAAAAAGCTTAGATAATGGTAAAGAAATATGTGCTGTGCGTTCTGACATCAGTAAAGCATTTATTGAGGTTAGGCTCAAAATCATATTACTTTATCCGACGTAATAAGCGCCCCGCTCTAATAAGCGCCCACAGCGGTATTTGCTAATATATTGGCTAGTGAACAATCCCAATTAGCACCCCTTCCGATTGATCAATGTTCACAAGACTTATTTATTTGCGTACAATACGCACTCGTGTGTTATATGCACCCTTAATTATGGGCAATTAAATTCTAGAAAAATATATCTCACGTACATAAACATTTCAGGCTGTCAGCATAAACCACCAAAAATTTATCTTTTAACTCTGTTTTTTTCACCAAAGTAATATTCTAATAAGATCCCCCTTTTTCTAATTATGTGAGCGCCCTGGGCGCTTATTACGTCGAATATGGTACATCAACTCATGTCATGCACAATTAAATGGTCAATTATTATCCCCCCGGTTTGAAAAAGGGGGGATAAAGTGATCAGCATATATATCCGTCTGTCCGCCGTCTGTTTTCTGTTACCGGATCAGAAGTAAAAAAAACGTTAAATATTTCTTGTTGAAACTTGCTATATAAATCAGTCTAGTGGTGAACTGGTGCCTTTTGATGATTTGGGATTATTTTTTTTTTTCCTTTTTTTTTTTTCCTTGACAAGTTGGACTTCTACTGAAAATAAGGGTAGAGCTCATTTCTGGAGCAGAACTCCAGAACTTTTGAATATTTCTTGTTGAAACATGCAATATACATCAGTTTATGGGGAACTGGCGCCTTTTGATGATTTGGTATTTATATTTAAAAAAAAAAAGCATTTTCCATGAGTACATGTTTGACTTGTACTGAAAATGAGGGTAGTGATCAAAAACTGCTGAATGTTTCTAGATGAAACTTGCTTTACAGATCAGTCTGATGGTGAACTTGGTCCTTTTGATGTTTCAGAATTTTTATTTATTTATTCTTTTCATGGTTTCATGATGACAAGTTGGACTTTACTGAAAATTAGTGTAATGCTGGTATCTGGAGCAGAATTCCCAAACCGACGAATGTTTCTAGATGAAACTTGCTATGTCAGATCAGTATAGTGGTGAACGTTTAATGAATGGGGATTTTGAAAACTGCATTTTTGAATTGCACCAAACTGGGGGATATGTCATCTTATGATGTCTATTGATCTTATTATAATGGTTTGAAACTTATTTTTTAACAGAAGTCAAACTTTTATAGACAGCATGCCACACGGCTGAGAGTTAGGGGCCCATATCTATTCAGTTATATTTATAAATGATATATGTGACAATGCTTTCAGTTAACAGTCACAATTTTTATAATGTTAGATTTTCCATTTCAGAAATAACACTCAAAATACTAATAACTAGTGAGTAACTCTTCAAATGATAAATATTTAGGGCTAAACTGGGATTTAAGTTTTCTTACTGTATGTAGGTAGAGGTAGTAATACCTGTAAGGACTGAGCTGGAATAGAATATCTCAAAGGAAATGTGATCATGCAAACATAGATGCAAGAAGAATTGTTAGATGTACTTCAAAAACTGAACAAAAAAAGTTAGGGATCATGAATATCTGGGGGATAGTTTTATAAAATTGTGTCCTCAGTCGACAAAGAAATATTCCGAAATATTCTTATCCCTAAATTTATTTATTTATTTAGTGTCTGTTGCAAACATTGATCAAATGTAATAAGGAAGTGATATGATTTACTTTATTTGTTGTGTACATTGATAAATGTATAAGGAAGCGTTATGTTACAGTAACCTCATGTTACCAACCTCCTCACAAAGCTTATCCCAGTTGCTCCATGAGCCTGATACTTGCCCTTTTGTTATAAGATTTGCTCTTACCAACATTTGGCACTGAGAGCGAAGGCAAAGTCAGTTTGAATTTCATTAAGAAGATATTTTAATGTCCAGATTTAGCATGTCAAAGTTGAAAGATTGTGAAATAAGACTAACTGTGCTCCAACTTCTATTTCAGATTGAAGTTTCAAAGTTGGAAAAATGGATTGTAAAGAGGCAACATCTGATGCTAATGGTGAAAAATACACTACCTGTACTGTCCAACAGCCCGGTGAAGTTATTCGCCCAGTGGTCTCCAAGGGAATGGTTGAAGACATTATCCACAAAATGTATGGGCTTACAGTCACAGAAGTAAAAGAACTTGATAGTTATGATGATAGGAACTACTTCGTGAGAGTTGAGGAACAGCATTCTAATCCATTCATTCAAGAACTTCACCCAGAGGGTTACCTCCTAAAAGTAATTAACAGCAAAGACTCCATGAATTCTCAAGGCCTTGGTATGTTGGAAATTGTTCAAATAATTAGTTCAAGACTTTTGAAAATAATTGGTTTGAATGAGTCTGTCACAAATTTGACAGGCCACACACAAGACACTGTGTGTGTTTGTTTTCAAATTCAATTTAGCTCTGTCAAGTCTATAGTATCCTTGATTATCCAGTGTGACTCATTCATCACCACCGCTTGCTTCACTATCACCATGATACTTTTTCACAAATTTTGTGCAGAATTTCTCTCAACCATGAACTCAACATCAAATCAAAATAACTCTTCTGAACAAGAGTTTGTCATTGATATAGATTCAAACTACAACGGAATGTCCAATATATATATTCAAGTAAAGGAGTTTAATGAAAATCAGAATAGTGACATAAATGAGCTTTCAGGTCAATCTCATTACAATCAGATCTTAGTTCTCGCTGCCGCTAAACAAAGATCTGAGGACATCCCATTACGGGCCACGTCAGGAGGACCTTTCGAGAATTTTGACCGACAACTCAAACAACTAACAAGAAGTCGACATCAGCCAATTAGAAAGCAGCTTTCACAATTTTTATGGCACTCTTTTCACTCTGGCGACTTCCATATCAGACTATGCTTGAAAAATATGTTGACACAGTTCTCGAATAAATTGTGAAACAGAACAAACGAACATTCCGGAATATCTAATATATGGTTGCGATTGTATGGCAGTGCTTTCAACGTACTGTGCATCGCCTGCTTTGTTCAAATGTTTATCCCACGGAAGCGTGAGACAGACGATAATTTTGACGGAATCAGTCGTACGGGCCATAACTGTCGTTCGGAATACCCCATGTTAACGTTTTCGAGGTTGCAAGATTAGAAAACACATTCCGACTGTCACTTTCATGATCAAAGGTCATTCTGACGTGACCCGTAATGGGATGTCCTCAGATCTTTGTTTAGCGGTAGCGAGATCTAAGATCTGATTGTAATGAGATTGCTTTCAGGTGGAACAGATATTTGTTAACTGGACTCAAAATGAAGCAGTATATTGGCACTAGATGGAAAAATGCACAATATTATTAAAAAATATCCCGATATTTTCAAACAAACAGAGGTTAAGTTAACATAAAATTTGTAAATTTTCTTGATCTTACCTGAATTATGCTATTGAAAGTTGAATACAACTTTCATGATAGGAGTCTGATTAAATTGTTAAATTTTTGTGGAAATTTAATTCACGTTTTGTTATCGGCAAACAACAGAACAATGTTTAATTACTGACCATTTCTGTAAATGTATTGTGCAAACATTAGACTGAATAAAAACTTAATTTTCGAGGTCATCATGTTAATTCATGTGTTTGTTTGTGCAACAGCTACATTCTTGTCAGCACTCCCATTCCAGTCAGTATAAATATATCTTAGATCTGTATTACATCGGCAGTTTTAGCTATTTATATTCCCTTGTCAATACTTACTACCATTTATTCAATTCTGCAGGTTCCCCGATGTTTTTGTGCCATTTTTTACTTCAAGTATTCATCTCTTGAGCATCCGATTAGTTTGCCAATGCTATTTTTAGTCTGTCGGAAGTGTACATACACGGTCTGTGTTTTTTCATGTATATTAAAAGCAGGTCACACGGCCACTTCCTTCCTCTGTTTATCTTATGACTGTATTTTAACTCCCACCTTCCCTTCCCTTGAATAAGGGCTGAGTGTGTTGCTTAGGGGAATTTATAGTCCTTTCCATATCAGTATAAAGGGAATGGACTATAGGTCCCCCCCTTCCCCTTCCTGAGTAGTGGTAGGACACCACAGCTGGGATGGTCCGGGTCAACAACCCCCGGGACTTACACATACCAAGGATAATCCTGGGTTCATGATCCAGGACAAAACAACATATCCCACGAGACTGGGTCGATGCTTTGGGTCCTACTACTGCTTCATGGTTCACGACCTCTGCACGGTCCATGACTGCTGCATCATTATGCAACAGAGTCAGTCCCCAAACACCAGTATATTTCCTTTAATAAATATTTACTTACTTGTATTACCGTGTTATGTAGTTGCGGCTCAAAATGTTAATCTAATGTGTCAAGTTATAAAATTTGCATGATACAATGAACAACATATAAATATTCACCAGTCCTAATTTCAAGTTTTTTCTCGTTGAATAATTTCAATATACAAACATTAAGATCCCATCTCGTAATGCTAGCAGAGACCTCAGTCATCTTCCCGAGACAAGAGAGTTAACTGACTATAAAAGTCCAGTTTCCACCCTTGCCGAACTAGGCTGGTATTATGGAGTTACATGAATTCCAGCCAAGTTTGGCAAGCATGGAAACTGGACTTTCAAAGTCTGAGTTAACTCCTTTGCCTCAGGAAGATGGACCTCAGCATCAGTTATTGCTATTTTAACATAAACAAAGTTTACACTTCTTTCATTTAACCTTCGCGAAAGTTGACGATCTTCTTTATCGAAGGGGGCGGTCGGGTTGCCTAGTGGTTAAAGCGTTCGCTCATCACGCCGAAGACCCGGGTTCGATTCCCGACATGGGCACATTGTGTGAAGCCCATTTCTGGTGTCCCCCGCCGTGATATTGCTGGAATATTGCTAATAGCGGCGCAAAACCATACTCACTCACTCACTCTTTATCGAGGAGTGTTTCATTTGTCATTTTTAGTATAACATAATGAGAGAAAACAAAATAAAGACCACAAAATCTGACAGCAATGTTTCAGAAAGCGCAAAGGTCACTGTATGTGATGTCACAGTCAGGGTATGTCTCTTTGTAATCCAACAGTAAATTTGGAATATTTGGTCAATCACACCTAGAATGAACACAATTCCCCACATAGTAGTATCAGTAACCATCACTCATATGAAATAACAATGTTACTTTGAAGATACATTGGGCATATTATTATCAAACCTTGCATGCTACTGTGCCCTGGAAACAATAGTATATGTCAACATGCCACCTGCAAGTTTCTCAATATCTTTTATTTGAAGTTTTGTTGATATAAGGATATTATGTTACGTTCAATAGGAACATATTATACATATAAATGCGGGGTATGCTGACGATTTGTTTGTTCCACAATCAGAATTATGTCCTACACAATAGATGTCTTTTGATATATTGTCTATCAGCAATTATCAGCCTCCACAACAAGTGCGCGAAACCGGGCATAACAAAAAGGGTTTCAGGATAAGATGCATGCTTTGCGGAGTATGATATTAACCCTTAGACCCCTGTGCCCCTTGCTAAGCTGTTTCGTGAATCAGATGTTAACAGTATCGGAAATCCCGTTTAGGGTTCGCTTATTTCAGCTTCATTAGGGTACTGAGATATTTCCATTTATAGTTATCGATAAAAGTTTTAAGTTTCCTATAACCATGTTCCCCAGTTTATCAACTGATTTGATCTTAGGTTTTTATTACAATGTAGGCATCAGTGGGTTTTCTTAAAAAATCTGCGTGCCCCAAAGGTTTGTTTATGTTTTTCAACCAACTTGAAGTTCTAAAAATTGTGAAATAATCGGCAGGTTGTCTTTGTAGTTATTCAAGGAGTACACTGTTATCAATAAATGAAATCTTTTAAAAATTAAACGCTGAATTATAGATCAATTCTGAAGGAACCAATGTACTTTACATTCCTGTCCAAGCAACTTTGCAGCAATGTTTAATTGACTGAATGATGATACTGTGTGTTGCCACTTCTTTGAATGCAAATCTCCGTGCTAAATATACAGTTAAATGTTAATGATAAATTCTCTCCAAATCCAGGTTTTGACTTGATTTCTCCTCCTTCTCCCCCTTAACACAACAAAATACACTACTACAACATATTGGGATACTGTACGGTGCACTGACTGACCTCAGTGTATTCTTCAACACATATCCACATTATCATCAACATCATCCGCATCACGAACATCAACAGCATCACAACCATCAACCCACTGTAATTTACATGAATATACCAGCGCATACTCACCAGAGTATATTCCAAATACATACTCACACAACTGGAGTGTTCGAGATTTAAACTATGGATACCGATCCATATCACAACGTATTATTATGGCTCGCCAACACAACTTGCAAACAACGCATAACATCCTGATCATCATATGCTGTCCTTAATAGTCATCTTTGGCACTCTCACTCCTAGAGCGACCATGTCTTTTAAACATTCTATCAGGAATGCCTCTGTTGGCTGCCACTGTGGCTCCACCTGACCTCACACCATTTTATATCAGGTACGAGGCTTAAAGACTTCAATCAATTACTCCCTCAACTGAGTATAAGACATCGGTTTGTTTTTCAGCTCTAAATATATAGCAGTCACTGGTCTTGGTCAGATTTCTGAAAAGATAAGTTTCAGAATTAGTTTCTTCCTTTAATCGACATTTTTCCAAGAAACATTCGATACACTTCACAGGACACCTCTTTGTCCCAGTTCTACCAATAATTAACCAAGCTCCATCTCTGTATACATCGGTTTTGGACCTTTCTATAAATACAGTCATGTGAGAATTAAAAGAAAACAAATCACCATGCTTATTATTAAGCAACTCAGCAGACCGCATAAAACCTGCGAATGCAAGCAAACACATAGACACAGTTCTCAAATTATATACATTTTTGGTTTTGCATTTTGCAGTCAAACATTCTTTCAAGTACTTCAACTGTAATAGGCTCTTTCTTCTTAACGGGTTTGACTAACTTCTGTTTGGCTGCCTCCAACAAATTTATCACCAATGTGTTGCTTGGGACATATGCATCTTTGTAAGTAGGCAGTAAACTACTTCCTTCACCTGTGAAACAAACTCTCTCCCAGGGCACATCTTTGGCCAAAAAGTAGCTGAATACCAAACAGGAACTATCAACGTAGCCCTTCCATGACACATGCTTAAAGGGGCACTGATCTAAAGCAATTCCCCGGGACTGGTTGTTGCCTTTGTTATTGTTTTTTTCCCGTGAGCACCCGGATGATATAGCAGAAACCAAGACTAGTTTGC